GGGGTATTTATAGGGAAATTTTTGGGTTAAAAAATTGATTTTTTTTTCAAAAAATTCGGGCAAAAACGTCTAGTTTAGGGTTCGGGTTCGGGCAAAAACTAGCCGTTGGACGGGTTTCGGGAACCTCGGGCAATTCGGGCATCTCGGGTATTCAGGCAAAATTTGGGTTTTCTGGCAAAATTCGGGTCGAGCAGCCAATTTCATGTTCGGGCGGGTCAGGCATTCGGGCAAATCGGGCTTGGCCGGAAAAATTCAAAAAAAAATCCGGCGGACGGCTATCGACGGTACCTACACGGCGGCGGGCTCCGGCGTGGTCTCAAAACTCAGGCTGCCCGAGCCTAAGCCAGAAAATACACCTTGAACGGGCCGGCATATGGGCCTACCCGCCCGAGCCTGAAAAAATTCAGATTTCGTGCAGCCCGTCGGCCCAAAATTCCAGCACTAATTATATAGTGTGCAGACGAATTTTAAATGATTATATTCATAGGATGGTTATTTATTATTAAATAAAAATTTAATGATGTTACGTGTTAAAAATTTAACATTATTATATTCAATAGATCAATAATAAAAATAATAAAGAAAAAAATATCTACAAAATTCAGGCGCTAGCTCTGCAGGTTTTAAATGCAAAAGATACTCAAGATAGCAGTTTGGTGGGCATTTGGCGCCGCTGTTTGTGTTTCATGGGCATCTCATATATATATATAATAATAATCCTATATATATGTAACTTATAAATATAAGTGGTGAGGCTTATCAGTTGTTCATTGAACTTTGCGAAGGAGATAAGGCATTAAAGAATAGAGGCACTATAATCAGCCTCTGCAGCATTTTTACTCTGTTGCTACTTGCTATATATTCTTTGGCCTTAAAAAATATATAAATGTTGCAAGTGGAAAAGAAAAGATATTTCTTTGTGGCGGTGGTCCGGCATCAGGAGAAAAATATAACAAGGGAAAAAATAGTAAAATAATTATAATAATTTTTAAAAAAAAACTGTGTATTCTATTTCTATATCTATAATCTATCTGTGAAAAGCTTTTGGTTGGGGGAGCATTGCCCGTGACCTGTGACCGAAAGCGAAGCAAAACAGCCTGTAGTGCACGTTCGCGAGATGGTCGCCACTAATTTTTAGTGATAATTACACTATCAAAATTTTGCTGTATGTGTAAATCACCCCTTTTTTAACTCAAACAATTGTTTCTTTGTTCCCCTTTTGCCATTATAAAAGTTTTTTTTTTTTCTTATTCTCCCCAAAGAGAGAGAAAATAAAAAAATAAAAATAAATGTGTGGTAAATTTTGTGGTTAGACCGGTGGGGTAAGAAGTAAGCTCTCCCTAGTAATTTCTTTAATTTCTTGGTTGATATAATACTATTTGACTCAGTACATTAATGGGAAGAGAAGACTAACGCAGCCACTTTTATTGACTGCGTTGAGTTTGTGGGAAGGAAACTGCAGAGTGAAGCAATAAAATGATGACCAGGTTTAACGCAAAAATTTGACCATTGACTTAGGTGGGACCCTAATGCACTTTTCGTCATACGTGGCCAAAACCTTCCTTCCATGAATCCAGAAATTTGTGAAAATCCGCCGCTCTTCGCTTAAAATACTTTTCCCTTCCACGCGGATGGATGGCATGATGTCACATCGCCGACGCGCCGCATCATTATCATGTTTCTGGAATCCGCACTCGCGCGGACCTTTCCTCCTCTGCAACACCAATTGATCCAGTCATGACGTTGATAACGCCGAAGAAGAATCTTAGCCGTCGGATCAAGTTATAATCATCAAGTTGATAAATGATTTCCCTCACTAGCATTGACTTAACCAAGGAAATAATTATATAATGACTTACACGAGATAAATATGAAGGACTTGTCTCTAACTAATTATATTATCACACATTATGAAATAAATTTATATTAAGATAAAAAATTAGTTAAAAAATATTTTTTTTATTTAAATAATGTTTTGATTGATTGGACGTTATTTTAGACCTTAAAAAAATGTTTAGTTTATAGATTAGAATTATAAGATTAGAATTATTTTTTATTTACGTGTATTTTTTATAAAAAAATACTGTAACGAATCATGAATCATAATTTAAATCATGGTATGAATTTCCTTACTAAACACCTCTTAAGTATATTTATTTATACAACTCAAGTCATAACTCAAATTATATTATTATAATATTTTTTTACATAAATTTAATTTTAATTTTTTATTATAATTTTTTTATTCACATATATAAATTAAGTCATGACTTAAGTTGTGTAAATAAAACGGACAATTTAAATCCTAATGCGAAGGACACTTTCGTAACTGCATGCCACGTCGGCCAAAAAAATTAGAAGAGCGGCTCTTCGATTGTCCAACAGCTGGCTGAAAACCAGAAGTCCTCGAAACCAAACGAAACCACATTTCACGCGGTCCTCCGTTTCAACCCCTTATTATTATGGACAGTATTATTGCATTGCCTCACGACGTCGTTTTGCTCCTCCCGTCCCTTATATAATGCCCTCATATCCTCCTCTTTCGAACCCATCTTCACAATTCCTAGGACGCCATTACAGAGAGCTTGAGAGAGGTAGCGAGAAATTTCTAGAAGAGATTGTGTTTCCTTCGCTTCTGTGGAAACAAAGGATTTTTTCAATCTGAGGATTCGATTGCTTTCTGCAGCAGCGCGCTTGATTCCGTCTCTTTGAGTTGATTATTTGATTTGAAAAAATGGCTCGCTCTTTCTCCGGCGCTAAGGCTCTCACCGCTCTCGTCATTGATGGATTCTCTACCGTAATCACCAGGTACTGAGAATGATTTCCTCGTCTTTTTTCGCGCTATTTTTATGTTTTTCCATTTTTCTTTCAGTCTCGAAGATTTTCCCGTTCAGTTGCTTTGTTTTCTCGCCAGCAAAACAGAGATTAAAACTCACTGTTGTCCGTTGTTCCTTTTCTTTGTTCTCTAACTCCATATAATTGTCGATGGATTCTTTTTTTTTTTCCTCTGTTTTCACCAAAATTTATCCTTTGCTTTCGTTTATTTTTTCTCGCCAGCCAAGCAGATCCATAAAAAACTTGTTCTTTTTTTTTCTCTCTTAAAAAAAATCCATTCTTTTTACATATTTGCTATTAAAAAAAGGAAATATTATCCCGTAAATTACGCGCTACTTTACGCAGAAATCGCTCTCGGAGCATTAAACATTTTAAAAAATATTGTAAATTTAAAACAAAAAAATTAACCTTTTTTCTCTTTCCTTAAATCGTTCAGGCGTGGATTCTCCGCGGCGGCGCCGCAAGGAGTTGTGTCAAGCGTAGCAAGGGCAGGCGCGACGGCGGGTTCTAGAAGCGTCAAGAAGAAGTCGGGCGAAAAAATCGTCGGAAACACCGAGAAGGTCTCGTGGGTCCCCGACCCGGTTACCGGTTACTACAGACCGGAGAATGGCGCTCAGGAGATCGACGTGGCTGAGCTACGCGCTACTCTCTTGAAGAAGCACTAATTAAGATTAACTAAGAAAAGACAAAACAAAAAAAATAATATTATTGTTTAAAAAAAAAAAAAAAAGGATACGAGGGGTTCGTGGCTCGGATACCGTTGCCCTCGGTGGGCTCTCGCTATGTGGTAGAAAATTTTATAATTAATCCCACGAACTCTTCGTTAGAAGATGTTTCTGATGATGGTATACATGTAACTCCTCTGTTTACTCTTTTGATTATATCGATGTTATATGTAACCTTTCTATTGTTGTCATGGAATAACATTATAACGAATTTTTAATGCAAATTTATTTTTTTCCGTCCTTTTTTTGTGCATATGGATAATCTTTGCTTCTATATAATCACATCAAGTTTTAAATATTTTATGCAATATTGAATTACTTAACATATTTCATTCCTTGGCCTCTTAAAGGTAGTTTAGTTGAAGAATTTCCTTCACCTATACGTGTTGTAATTGTAATGAATGTCAATTTAATGGTAATGGTTTAGGTTGGGTAGTTGGTCCAAAAAAAAAAAATTTTTAAATTTAGGATAATTAATGAGCATTGAACTCAGGGAAATCAACGCTTAAGTTTAGAAGGTCATGAAAAATATCAGGCAATCAATTATAATTAATGTATGCATCTATTTTTATAATTTAACCGGTAGCTCACTAATGGTTACTAAAAAAAAAAAAGTAAAACGCAAACTATTGAAAACTTTTTCTGTGTATTAGTTTGTGGTCAAAGATTTATCCATATTTAAGTTATTACAAAGCTCTTATGCTTCCAATTTTCATGGACTATTTGCTAGCGAGTAAGAAACGAATTTCAGCAAGTCCATTTTATTAGGAGTGTAGGTATCAATGAGGAAAGCGTCCAATTTGAGACGAGGCAGAGTGAATAGACTTTTTTTTTTTTTTTCATTTTTTTTAAGAAAAAGGGTTTTTGATTCTTCGAAACAAACGGTAAGTTCCAAATCTTCAAAGCTCATTTGTTTGGACGCCCATAAGTCTCCAGAGAAGTCACTGTTATGTTACCGAAATATACAAAAGCAGAGACGGTGCCGAGTCCCGTACACCATTGCCACACGCCAGTGGATGTCTACAAGATTTTGTTTAAAGTTTAGGCTCGTCGTTCGCGCACCAAAACCGAAAGCAAAGATATTATTATATTTTATATTTCTAGGAACCAATTTTTAAGGTTGAAGTTTGCAACTTTTCTCATGGTTCAGGAGACACTTAAGTACCGGCCAAGAAACACATGAGGTGTCGTGTCCATCAAAGGTCCAATAAGAATTTCACAACCATACTTAGCAGCTTATATAAAATGGGCCGATTGCTCCATTATTAAACTAGAAGAGATATATATATATATATATATATATATATGAACCGGAATGGTTGAATAATTGGCGACACAACAATATTCTTTGATGGAACGGTTCCTATTATATTATTCAGGAAACTTTCATTATTGTCATGACAGTGTTATTTGCATTATTCCGTGGTTGTGAAGGATGTGAAGTGTGACCTAATCTAATCAGGAATCAACTCAATATTATATTGTATTTTGGATGACGTATTTAATTAAAAGATGGTTAGTGCCTCTGTGTTGTGGGGATTCTTTTTTGCCTTCAAATATGCGGTGAATTGTCTACTCCCTCGCACTTATTTCTTTAATATGTGGTTATCGTTGCAATGACACGCAGACTTCTGTTCTTTGAAGAGCGAAGCGACCAATAGAAGGGACAATTATAGGAAGACAAAATTATAGATTAATGCATGCATTTGGGTAACTGACGTGAGAAATTCATGTATTTGCCTAAGAAAAGAGCTTGACCATCATTTTATATATGTACATATTATTTTGCAAATAGCTTTCATTATTGTCAAAAGAAGCAGAGAAAAGCAAATTGCATAGGCTCTAGGAGGTGTCAAAGAATGAATGGAGGAAGAGGGTCCCATGGGAGATCGATCTTTTCACTCTTACAGGACAGGAAAAGCATAACTTTCACGGTTTATCGTCCTTTTCATTTTAATATATCCATCACTTTGTTGATTTGATTTGGGATGCACATTTGAATCAAATGAGTTTGGAGTTTAGATTCATAAGCATAGAAGCATGGTTTGACTTTGACCATATATGTTTGGACGAATAAAGATGCTCAATTAAGAATTTTAATCACTAAGACCTTATTTATTTCACCGATTCGAGTTTTTAATTTTAAGTTTTTACAGTTAAAAACTCTCAAAAAATGTCACTTCTAACTTTTTCTGTTACAGTTAAAAATTTTAAAAAAATATCATATCTCAACTCGAATATGTGAAATGAAGTAGGACTAAAAATTTTGCAGAAATCCAGCGGGGAAAGTTTTATATTATTTTTTCAATTACTATAATCCGAAGGCAACAAAGAGGTATGAAGCAATTAGTGAATATAGTATTGATTATGATGTGACGTGACAGGCCGAATCGATTGAAGCCTAATATGCGATTGCGACGGGTGAAAAATGCAGAGTGGGTAGTGACTTCCTTTTTCTTGGCTAATAATTAGAAAAAAAAAAAAAAAAAAAAAAAAATTAGTGAATATAGTATTGATTATGATGTGACGTGACAGGCCGAATCGATTGAAGCCTAATATGCGATTGCGACGGGTGAAAAATGCAGAGTGGGTAGTGACTTCCTTTTTCTTGGCTAATAATTAGAAAAAAAAAAAAAAAAAAAAAAAAAAAATTACCCCCCTTTTTTTTTTTTGAGAAGAGGGCGGGAATTT